CCAGAAGCCAGCCTCAGCATGGGACTCTGCTGGATGGCCGACTATAAATCGTCGCGCCTGGCATCGCCTTGTCAAGCTTCTCCTGGCTCCAGTACTTCGCGTTTGTCTCTCAGCCCCAGCCCAAAACCTGCACAACCCGTATGCGAAGGGGAAATATCGTAACCTTTTTTCTTTCTGATATCAGTACCGTCACCCATTGATCTACCTTCAGTCCGCCTTACAGCCCAGGTCCCCGCCATGCCCGAGTCAGGAGACACCAGAAATGACGCTGCAACAAGCGAAAGTGATCCTCAGCCACAGGAGATTACACGTGAGGAGTTCGAGAGGATGGGCATGGACGTCGTGCAGGTAGCTGACCGTACTTGAATCCCCAATAGGTGGCTTGCCTGCTGACCCGTTCATACAGTCTGACCCGAAGCCGGAGTCGAGTGGATCGAGCGCGGAGACGGGAAGATCGTGATTGTTGTGTTTGGGGAACCTGACGTGCTAGCTGACGTCTCAGCATATGTCGTGGCTTCTGCACGTCGGCGACGGTGATGGCGACGCTTGAAGCTATTTGGGTTGCAATATATGGTTGTCTACAGCCTCGGCCGATACGGCTTGAAAACAACTATAAGTCTGTGAAGTCTGTGAAGTCTGTGAAGTCTGAAACGTGTGAAGCCTTTAGTCTGTGTTTTCGTTTTGTCGCCATATTGTGCCAATCAGCTGTATCAGGGTGCGCTCCATCCTGGTGACGAGCCCACGGCTCATGGCACTTGGGCCTGGCGATGACAGCTGGGTGGCCGGAGCTATGTTGGTGATCAATTCACCACGGCTGTCACAGCCGCCACGGCCGCCACGCAAGAGGCACGGCTGACTGCCTGCCTTTCTCATCCCGATAATGCCATGGCGCTGATGCGATTCGACGTAAGCCCAACACGCAGGTCCTGTTCTGCAGCTTATCCAAACTTCAACCACAAGTCGCTTGCCTAGGCCTGTATCTGACGATGCGCGAGACTCGCATATGACCATGCGGCCGAACCACGTCATCAGTCGCAAGAGGTTGCGGAGGCCTTCACGTGCCGACTGGCAGTTTGGTCATGTCTCGAAAAACGACTGCGACCGCCGCTCTGCTCGTGCTTGAAGCTGTTCCGGAAAGTCCGCCGCATCTCGCCCAGTTATTCCATGCTCGCAACAGGGGTAGTTGACAACTCGCTGGCCGTGGCTCGCTATCGGGGATATTCGCGCGCGCTCTCGAGTCGACAGTCGGAAAAAAAACCACGGTGATTGCTAGTCGTGTGGGCGTGTGTTGCTGGTCGGCTGCAATCGCCACGTTTAGCTGTCATCTGCTGTGAGGTCGACAGGTCTGCAGCGGTTACGGATTTCATGGGGTCGACTGGCATGCATGCGACGGCCCGGCGCTACTATCATCCGCAGGCCCGCTCGATTTGACTTGCTGCAGCACACCGCCTACCTCCCATCTCTTCCAGAACCACTTCACAGAAGACGTCTGTGTTGGCTGTACGGCAAAGAGCTTCCCCCACTATGCCATTGACACTTCCCGAACCTTCGACTTCTACACCTTTTCGTCTCTCAATCGATGGAACGGCCGACGGTCTCCAGCCCCGAGCGCAACGGCGTGATTCGAACACACGACATCGTGTACACAAGAGCGGGCCTACAGGGCCTTGCGGAGGAGTTCAAAAAGACCCTTCTTCCGGACGGGCAACCACCCCATGGCGATAGCACGACGCAAATATACGGTTTCCAGTGGCTGGAGAAATACGCCGGGATGGTGCGGCGGTATCTTGATTTTGACGACAAGACTGCCATAGACTACCTCGCTGCGAATGATGGCCGTGAGTCGAACGACATCGGCCACTGCATCAAAGCAAAGCTGGCGCGGTCTGGCTTTCGGTCGCCGCGAGAGTCGGGTCGATACATGCCCTCACTGCTCGAGCTCCGGTCCGGATGTCAGTGGGTCCCGCCAGGCAAAGTGGCCATCGTCTTCCTCATAGACACGCCATACAGCGGAGCAGTGAACGTGGACATACTATCTAGGAATGAGGCCGGTCACGGACAGATCGAAACGTCGATGAATATCAAGGTGGGCAGTGTCATACAAGTATACGGGCCGAGCGGATGGAAAGCAAGCTGTTCTGTGACCTTCCTACACCTCTGTTACGATATTGAGCGCGTCTAGTTACATTATGCATCCTGAGGACGAGTTTCAGAGACCTTTAGCTCCACACTACGTTCATTTTCATATCTGTAAATAGGACAGGCGCACAGCTTAGGGAAGAAGGACGTTCAACGGAAGATGGCGTCTGGAACCGTATTGGATTTGTCGTAAGCGACGTACTGCCTTCGACGGACTGGGTGTGCATGAAGGAAGAGGCTGGTGACGGGTAGCAGGTGATGCGGTGATGGTTGGATGGGCCTTGGCTTTCATCGTCATCCAGGTCCATCGCGGCATAGTGGGCGAATGGCTGCGAGCTAGAGAGGAGCATCTCACTGTTCGTAGACGTGTACTGCGGGGCTGAGCAGATGGCCTCGCGCGCAAAATGGTCCGCGACATAGGCTGGTCGCGGAGACGCTGCGTGGTCGGACCCAGTCTCTGGTAGAGGCACGCCCAAATACTGGTGCCTTAGGGAGGGGGTTCCTCGGCGCGCGGGGGCCTCAACCGACATGCGATCGGAGATGATGCATCCCGTCACTCGGGTTGACACCATGGAGGTCAGTTCTGCATCATGGTCTGGGACTGACTGCGCCAGCGTCAACAGATGTGTCTTCGGTGACACTTTAGTGTTGCTGTTGCTCACCTTGAGCGGTTGACATATTTCTGACAGGTATGCCATTAATGCGGTTTCAAGTTGGGCGAAACGTCGAGCTTTGTCTTGGACTGCTTTGCTACAGGCTTTCTGAATCAGTTCACTTTCTCTAGCCTTGGGGCCCGTTGGCACCTTTTGGTATCTGTGTAGAGTCAGCGACTTCTCGGCTAGCTGGCGGAGCAGGGAACCAACGTCGAATCGAGCGTTTCAGCAAGCGCGATAATCGTGCCCGGCCCGAAGTTCTGTGAGAGATATACCGATGTTCTACCATACGCGTTCCATTCGCTCAGGTCCTTTTCTTCAATGACAGCTTCTGTGTGAAAGCGAGCCGCTTCGTGCAGGGCCTTGCGGAACTTGCTGGCGCGGGGACCCCACGATGTCCGACACCGGTGGAGCTCTCCTGCGATGAGTCTGAACTTGATTGCGGCCAATAGACCGTACTTTCCTTTCGTGCTCCATGCTTTCAGGTATCTGACGACATTGAGGGGCTTCGGCTCGTCGAAGAAGCGTTTTGGTGAGTTGATCCACTCCTGTTGTCGGTCCAATACATCTTGCCATCCAAGGGACTTCCGCTTGTCGTCGTCCGGGTGCGCGTAAAGAGATTCTGACGCTGCCCTAAACTGGCAATGCGTACAAATCCTGCTCCTGACTTCGTCTGCTACCGGACTGGGAAGGGCACAGATCACATCGCTGATGAGATCCGCCACCTGCCGATGGTAAGGAGGGTGACATTTTAGTCGGAAGAGGAAAATACCTTTCGCTGCGCCTTGTCGTCCTCTTGCCAGGCGTCATTTTCCAGTACGGTCTGTAGTTGCTGGACCTGCGCCAGAATGACCGCCATGAGTGGTGCTTACTTGGGTGGATGATGCGGGATGATGCGGGAAAGGAGATGATAGAAACGGCGTGGCGAGCGCTTTACCTCTTGAAGCCGAGCTGTGGAATTCCAGAGCCCCACTATATGGATGGGACTATGTGGAGGGGTGCAGGGGCTGAAGCTGGTCGAGATGAAGACGTGTCGTTCTCTGGGCTA